GGGCTTGCAGAGCTCCTCCTCTCGGGCTTGCCCCTCCTTTCGGATGACCACTCTGTCTCGGGTCCGGTCGCTTTTGGCGTTGGGTTCCTGGATGGTGTTTCTGGACCTCCGGGACGCGATTCATCCAGTGTTCAGGGACTGGCTCGGTTTTGTCTTGGGGCGACAGACTTACCGCTTTCATTACCTTCCTTCCAGTTTGGATTTGGCACCTCACATGTCCACACACCTTAACCAGGTCGTGGTGACCCGTTTGAGTTTTGGTTTACCTCGACGATTGGCTGGTGTGGGCTCCCAGCCAATCCGTGTGTCTGCTCGCCAGGGATTTGGTTCCTTCCCAGCTCGCGGGGATGGGGTTCTTGGTGTACTGAAAGAAGTCCCATTTGGTTCCCTCTCAGGTTCGGACTGGGTTGGGTCTTGTGTGGGACTCTCAGACCGCTTCCTTGTCTCTCCCTCTGGCAGCGTTGTTGCAGCTGCGGTACCGCTTACGACTGTTTTTGAAGGCCACCCGGGTCACACGTCGGTTGTTTGAGCAGCGGTGCGGGAGCCTGATCTTTGCCGTGCTGGTCAACCCGTCGGGTCGGATCTGGATTCGGGGGCGTCCCTTCCGCCGCTCTCGTGATCGCTGTGTTCGGATCCTGGGAGCCTTGCGTCAGGTGCTGCATTGCTGGCTTCCTCTGAGGGCTTTTTTGGGTTCAGAACCCTGAAGCCTCCCCATCTGAGCCCTTGCTCAATGTGTTCACGGATGCCTTGTCTCTCGGCTGGGGTTTTGTGACCAATGCTCACAAGGCCGACCAGACTCAGTGGGGACCGTCCTTCCGTCGGGCTCACAGCACGGTACAGGAGTTCGTGGCGGTGTGGCATTCACTTCAGAGGGTTCGTGTTGCTCGCGGAGCAACGATCCGGCTCCATTCGGACTGCACCCCGGTGGTTTATTTTCTGAACCGCGGGGGTTCGATGCAGTCCTTGGCTCTTTGGGCTGGTCGCTTTGGGTGTCTCATCTGCTGAGTTCTTAGGGTTTGGCTCTCCTGGCCGATCACGTTCAGAGGGTGTCAAACGTCCTGGCAGATGGCCTGTCTCGGTTTATTCCCTAATCCATGGAATGGACAGTCGACACAGACTCATTCAGTTGGGTCTGCCGAACGTACGGGCACCTAGAGGTAGACCTCTTTACATCGACATGGTCGAGGCGTCATTCAGTGTATGTGGTGCCCTTCCATGACTGTGAGGCTGTCGGGGTCAATGCCTTTCAACTGGACTGGTCAAGTTGAGGTTACCTGTACCTCTTCCCACCAGTTTGGTTGTTGCTCCTGGTCCTGGCTCGCTAGGAGAGACTTACTAGGGACGAGTAGTTCTGTTGGCTTTTTGGTGGCCAGTTTCAGAGCCTTGGTTTCAGGCGCTTCTTGCTCAATGTCCGAACCCAAGTGTCTTCCCGCGGCTCCAACTCTTTCAGCAGATCGGTCCATTCCAGTACGTGGTTGGTTCAATCTTCTACTCTGCTTTTCGTGCCTGGTCTTTTTGATGCTGATTTATCACCACTTGTATGGTGTTCAGGTGCTAGGTGGTGTCCCACTTGCGAGTTTCGTCTCGACGGCAGTATGAAATTTCCTGGCGGTCCTTTCGGCACTTTGTCTCTTCGTAGGTTATCTTCGATTTCTGGGCCTTTCTTGACCAGAAAGGGTTGTTTGTCCTTTCTCTCTTGGTTGTTTATGGACCGTCATCTTTTGCCAAATACTGTCGCCTCGTATCTTGCGGCGCTGGCGGAACTGTTGCAGCTTGCATTTGGGGTGGATGTTAATTCTGCTCCGTTCCGCAAGCTTTCTCGGGCATTGTTTCACCTCCGGCCTGCTCATGCGCCGCATTAGCCATCCTGGTCGCTGCACCGGGTGCTCTCTTCTCCCTTTTCCTCTGTTTGTGGTGGCCCCCCCTCGGTTCAGGACTGTTTTTCTACGGCTCTTTTCTTGTTGGCATTGGTCTCAGGGGATTGGGTCAGAGTTTCATGCTCTCCTCCAGCACAGGGGTTTCTGTTCTTTCGGTCCTGGTGGTCTTTTCTTCATTTGTAGTCATCTCCAACTTTTCTGGTGAAGAATGAGTCTGCTGCTTTCCGAAGGGGTCCTTGGGTTGTTGGTGTTTGATTGGTTCGGCTGGGGGGTGTATCATGTTTTGTGTCTGTTTGTAGCTCTTCGCCGTTACTTGCGCGCCACGGCCTGTGGCAGAGGACGAGCTTTGGGTTGATCCAGTTTCCCTTCTTCCCTATTCCAGGGTGCGGGTCTCTCAGGTTGTCCGCAGGATTATTTGGTCCAGCCAGCCTGCGGTTTATCCCTGTGCCCGCTCCGTTCATAACTTCGCGGCTTTGGCTGCTGTTTTGGTAATATGTCCTAGCCTATCATTTGGGCACGGGGCCTTTGGAGGTCGAACAGGATTCTGGCTGCACGTTACCTTGTTCATGTTCTTAGTCCTTTTCTGGCTTGGATAGCCTTGGGTCGCAGGTTGCTGCCAGTTGTCTTGACTTTGAATTGAGGAGCGAATGACGACTGCCTCCCGGTGAGTCCCTTTTCTTTCTTTTGTCTTTGGTGAAGTAGCTCCGGGGAGGCGAAGGGGCTCTCCGCAGAAAACCAGCGTTGAATGTAATGAAGTACCATTTTCTGGGCGAGACCCTGAGGCGCCCAGGCATTCCTCCCTCAGGTCGGCGGTTTTTCGTGTTTTTTGATACTCAGCCTCTGAACTGAGGAGTTGCCGGTGTGGAGGTCTGGGACCTCCCGGTCCCCCCTCCCGGGGAGGGGGGGGGGGTGTTGCATAGACGGATGCGCGGCGGTTGTGGTGATGTCATGTTTGTTTCTTTGTTTTTGATTGGAAAGTTCCGTTTGTTAGTTCGGGTTTCGGTTTGCGTTTTTTGACCAGCAGTAGTTTGTTTTAGAATTCCTACCCTTCTGGGTGCCTGACCTGGTAGATAGCAGACAAACACTGCTTCCAATTACACGGGGGTGTCTTTAGGCCATTGCTCCTCGTGTCTCTCTTGAGGGGACCAGGTTCTGGCTCTGGTTCCCAGTAGGCTTAGAACTGTATAGCTCCAGGGAGTCTGCGAGTCTCACCCAGAAAATGGCATTTCATTACATTCAACACTGGTTTTTTCTTGCATGGAGGAGTAGAGAGCTTCATCTCTTTTCTGAGGAGGGATTTGAAGTTTATGACTTACTTTAACTACAACCTTTCCTTACTGTCTTGACCATGGCTGTGCCTGGGTAGCCAGCAGACTTGGAGCTAAGTCATTCTTCTTTGGTTTCCTCATTGTGTTACTTGGATGCCTTAAGGGGCACTTCTTGGAGTTGGAGGCCTGTTCTTCATGGTCTTTGGATTCTTGGTTGAATTTGGACTCTGATCCTGGCTCTTTTCCACCTCTTGGAATGGGTTCTAGGAATTTGGGGTTACAGTGAAGTGAATCTTGTAAAACAGTATAAATAGAGTGGTCTAGTAGCGAAGGACTGCAGTAGCCAGTGCCATGAAAGCTGGAGGCACTCAAATTTGGCTCCAGGATGAGTGAGGGCCCATTCATGACTCAACCAGAGATGAGACACCACTCTCCTTCACCCTTACCCCCAGGACATGACAGGAACTATTATAGATTGGGATGATGTGACCAGCACAAGGGAAGCAAGACCAACATTTGTACACCAAACCACATTTATCACTAATGAAGAAAGGTGCACAGACTAAAACCCAAAAAATCTTAATCTTGTCTAAAGCCCAATCTCAGGAACGCACAATAAGCACCAACACACACACGAGTTAGGGCAAAGTGTGGTTTATTATTACTGTGAAATAAACACACAACTAATCTGTTCAGTTCCATCAAGAGTTCTTATAGAGTATGTAGTCCTGTTGGTAACCTCCAAAATCTCTATTTCCTGAAACCCACAATAATGAGCTATCAACAGGGATACTCTTACCCCTTCACTGTTTATCCTTTCCTTTCTTCCTACCTGGTATTCTCTTGGGAATATTGCTTCCTCTGTTACATTCATTAATTTTGTTGCCCTAATTATGATGACAAGAGGCTCCAGTTCTGCAACCCGTTCTTACAGCTCTACCACTTTACTTGTAATTCTGTCTACATTTGTGTACCAATTTTTTAGAAATACTGTACTACTCATTTGTATTGGGCCGCTTAGTTTCTTCACTAGAGGTAGGTAGACTTTACCTTTGGCTTAGCCCCATTCTAGAGAGTGGCATTTATGAATGTTAATTCAGTCACACACTAATTATCTGGAATTTCCTCTGATGGCAGACAAGAGTTTCTAGTTAGTGATTATTCTGCAGTAACAAATATCTGCATTGTTTTCATCAAGGTTACCAATTTCTTCAGATAGTAACTTGTTATGATTGATCTTTTACTTGATTCAATGGTGATCTCTTGATTCCTTCGCCTCACTGAGTGGGCCAAATTCCAGTCCTGGTTCCCAGCAGGTGGTGGTCATACAGTCTCAATGTGTTACTGAACACTTGGTTACTTCCAAGTTGTAGCATCAAAGAACCTGGTTTCCAGCAGGAGCTTAAGTGCTATATAGTCCCGTTGTTTTAATAATTAATTCAACGTGTCTGGGGACAAGCAGCCAGTTTATACATACAGTACATGTAAGCTTTATATCGAGGTAACCTCCTCCCATCCCCTAGGTCGAATTACTGAACCTTTCCCAGGTTGCAACCCGACAACAAGCTGACTAACTCTTGGGTACCTATTTACTGCTAGATGAAGAGATGCATTAAGTGATAAGAAACATGCCCAACCATTTCTGTCCCGCCTGGAATTCGAACCCGAAATTCTCGATTGTGAGCTGACAATTAACCCGACTGTACTACAGGGACCCCCTAACATTTTACTGAAGACTTGGGTACTTCCAGGTTGTAACACCGAAGAGGTACTGAAGGGGACCCTCAAAGAAATGGTTATGAAGATAATGTTTAGCACATTACAATAATGTATTTACAAAAGTTAAAGTACATACCTCATGCTCGGGCATTTTAAGCCACTGTTTAGGATCAGACTCGACAACCACGAAACCCATAAGGTCTAATGCAGTTAGCCTCGTCTGTCTACGGGATGACACGAATACCAGAACTGGCTTGTCTGGGGAATGCTGTTTGATTGCTGTAAACAAAAAAAGGGTAACATTCATATTTTTTATAAAGCTCCCCAATGCTGAGTTAAAGCAACAAAAAACCAGCGTTGAATGTAATGAAACGCCATTTTCTGGGTGAGCCCCGGAGGCTCCCTGGAGCTTATCGGGCTAATGTATGTTATGTTAGACCGGGACATTAGCTAAGGAGTTCAGACCTACCAGGGACCAGCGCCAGAACCTGGCCCCTTCAGAGAGGTTTCAGGGAGCAATGGCCCTGGAAAACCCCATATGGTTGGGGGTTTTCCTTATCTGCCATCGACCGGGGTTAGGCACCCAGAAAGGTAGGCGTAACAAAACAAACCCCACATGGTAAGACACTACAACAAAAACCGAACAGAGAGGTAGAAAACTCCCTACAATCCCAAGAAAACAAGCAAACAAGCAAACATCACACTTTACTGCCGCGCCGATCGTCCGCGCAGCCCTCCCCACCCCGGGAGGGGGAGGGGGGAGCCCCGGACCTACCACGCCGGCTGCCAAGCTCCAGTTCGGAAGCTAAGCTTCAACCAACGCGAAAAAACCGCCGACCGGTGGGAGGGAGGGTTTCCAGGGAGCCTCCGGGGCTCACCCAGAAAATGGCGTTTCATTACATTCAACGCTGGTTTTCTGTGGGGAGCCCCTACGGCTCCCTGGAGCTTCATACCCAAAGAGAAGGAAAAGAAAGGGCTAACCCGGGAGGCGGCCGCCACAAACTCTGCAACGCAAAGCCAAGACAACCGGTCGCAAACCTGCGACCCAAGGCAACAAGAACGCCCAAGAACAGACGCACATATGGATGGGCGGCCAAAAACCTGTGCGACCCACAATTCCCTGCGCCCGAAATGAGCCCGAGACGTCACCAGCACGGCAGCAATTGCTGCAAACGTCTGAACAGCACGGGCGCAAAGACAAACCGCAGGAAGAAGGAAAACACTGCGGACGACCCGGGAGACCCGAGCCCTGAAAACAGGGAACGAAGGAACCGGATCAACCACAGCGCATCCCCAGGCACGGTACGCCGGCAACAGCAAAACCACAACTGGACAATACAGGACGCACCCCCCGGCCAAACCAAACAAGTACCAATACCCCAAGAACCCCTCCGGAAAGCAGCCGTCTCGACCGTCTCCAGGACAGAGAAAGGCTGCACACCAATAAAGCTACCACCAGTACCAAAGAGGAGGAAACTGAAACCGAAGGGGCTACCACAAACTGAGGGGAAGAGAAGAAGGCACCCTGAACAAGGACCAGGATGGCTCAGGCGACTCATGAGCAGGCCGGAGGGGAAACAAAACGCGAGAAAACGTAATAAACGTCATACAGTCTCCAAGACGAAGCTCGCAGGTGGGACACCGTCAACAAAGCCACCTGAACACCATAGAGATGGCGATACCTGCGTCAAAATACCAGACGCGAAGAGCCAAAGAGAAGGCCGAACCAGTCACGGACAGGACCGATTCGGCCTGCTGAAAGAGGCGAAGCCTCAGGAAAAACGCCCCGGGTACGGACACCTATCAAGCAGCGTCTGAAAAGAAGGCCGGGCCGGCCACCGTGGAACCATAAGGACTGTTCTCGTGGGAATGGGCTGCAACCGAGCCAGAACCCGAAGCAACAGCTGGACCGGGAGAAGAGGTACAGGTACCCCCCACCTCGACCAGGCCTGCCGAAAGCCTCCACCGTGAAGTCCTCGCAGGTGGGAAGGGCGCCACAAAACGGGCGACGCCTAGACCACGCCGACCCGAAGACGTCCATGGCCAGGAGTCCATAAGCCCAACAGAGCCAACAAAAAGAATCGGCGACGACTGGCCAACCCACGAAGAGGAATGAACCGAGACAGCTGTCCACCAGGACGCAGGACACACCCCGGACACGAACCACACGGTTAACCAAACCCCTGTGGTTCCGGCAAGAACCACCAGAGAACAGTCCAAACAGAGCTGAATGGTAGAGTACCTAGTGACCCAAACCCTCCGAAGCGCAAACCAGACAGCCATGAACACCTGAACCGGGCTGTGAGCCCGACGGACAGACAGACTCCATCAACCTCGGCCGACCTGGTGAGCACTGGTCACAAAGCCCCAGCCGAGAGACGACCCGTCCGTGAACACATCGAGCGAAGGCTCGGGGAGCTGCCAAGGCACGGAACCCCGAAAACCCCAAAGAGGAAGCTGGTGACGCAGCACCAACAACAGATCCCCAGAGGAACCCAAGGAATGCAAGAGGCGGAAGTGGAGTCTCCGTAGGAACCAACCGACACCGGAGCCAAACCCGACTCCGCGGGCAGACAAGCACGCCGAAGTGCAAACTCCCGCACAACCACCCAAGCAACCGCTGAGCAACCCGGGACCCCCTCCTGAACAGCCAAAGGCGGGACCACAGCCACAGTAACACTTCTGGAGGGAAGACAATGAGGGGCCCAAGAGCCTGAAACAAGGCCCAGGTCCGAACCCGGGACGGAAACAGAAGGTAAAACCTCCAGATCACCAAGAAACCAAACCCAGCGATCTGGAAAGAACCATCCCCTGGCGAGCAGACAAGCGGACTGACTGGGAGCCCACTCCAGCCAGTCGTCGAGGTAGGCCAGACACCGAATCTCAGACGCAGACAGGGCACTAAGATCCGGTAAAGATGCAAAGAGTATACAAAGTGCCCTTCACAAAATAGGGAATGCAATAAAAACAGCAAACCTGAAGCCCCACCACCAAAGCATTGTATGACAATCATATTAAGACATATTATGACATATGACAATCATTATATGACAATATGACAATTATAATCAAAGCATTATATGACAGAGTGCTGGGAAGACGGGACACCACGAGAGTAGCTCTCATCCTGTAACTACACTTAGGTAAGTACACATAGGTAATTACCAACCGTGCTAGCCCCAGAAAAACTGGAGAGGAACGTGCCAAGAAGTGACCTGGAGGTCCAGGTCCACCATCCATGCACCCGGCCCTAACAGAATCCGAACAGGAGACAACAGTCCTCCGAGCAGGGCAGAGGATCCAGGGCGCAGACGGAAGTAGTCCAGAAGAACTGCAGACTGGAAAAGCTCATGACTGCAAAGAGCAGACGGGAAAAGCTCATGACTGCAAAGAGCAGACGGGAAGCCCAGAAGGATGGGGCGGATCGACCACGCCCCACGCACCCACGAAGAGGAAATGACGAAGCGCAGGGAAGAAGCCCACCCCGCCAGCTCTGAACCCCCCCCAAGGGGGAGAAGCCGTCCTCCGACGCCAGCAGAGGCCGGAAGACAACCCAAAGCGCCCACCAACAGCGGGACCAAGCGAGAGGCAACAGAGCAAGCTGCTCCCCCAGCGCCCAGTCAACAGAGAAGGGAACAGAACCCCTTCAGAAAGAAAAAGTACACTACCGAAGTCATGAGGAGAGACTACGGGAATGAAACCACACTTCGCTGGAAGAGGAAGTGAGGGGAGACCTGATCACCACATACAAGATACCCAAGGGAATCGACAGGGTTGAGAAGGACAGGCTATGTAACATAAGGGGCACATGCACTAGGGGACACAGGTGGAAACTGAGTACCCAAAAGAGCCACAGATAGAATTAGTTTTTTTTTTTTTTTTTTTTTTTTTGAGTGTCAGAGTGGGAACGGGAAAGCACTAAGAAGTAATGTGGCGACTCCTCACACAAGTAACGAGGCTGACCCCCATACAATGTCACATGTAGACATGACAGAGCCCAAGAGGCACAGGAACCGATACACCTGTTGACGGACGGTTGAGAGGCAGGACCAAGGAGCCAGAGCTCAACCCCCACAAGCACAACTAGGTGAGGACATATATTGTAAAAGCACAAGCCGCCGACTGGTGGCAAAGAGCACTTCGCCGGCCAGGCAAAGAAGGCACAAAACTGCATCAAAAGGCCCACCTCGACAGCAAAACCACAAAGTCCCAGCACAACCACAACATGTGCCAAGACCCAAAAAGCTCAGTCTGCAAGCCAGGAAGACCACGGAACCCCAAAAGGCAGAACCGGGTCACACGAAGAAACAAAGTCCCCTGAACCCACAAAAGGGGGCCCAAGAGGAAGAAACCTCCAGAACGAAACCAAGGAACCCAGAATCGAACCAGGGGGATAAAAGGCAAAGCACAGACCCCAGCAGAACGCCCTGGGAAAACGGTCCCAACAGACCGAAAACCGAGGGGCAAGGTGTGGGAGCAAGCATACCAGCCAGGGGCACTGAGCCTAAACCCAGAGGCTCAGACCCAAAATCAACACCCAAACGTTCCCAGAGGAACAGGCAACGGCAAGAAAACACCAGAAAAACAAAGAAACGACAACAGGAGAACAAAAACCCTGCAAATGTTTTGAAAACTCACCAGAGACGCTCGCTCGCACACCCAGACGCATGTAAACAAACCGCAACGCCGCCCTGGTGGCCACGCCGGGAAACCGGCAGACGAAAATGGCCGCCAGCAGGGGCTGTGACTGACGCTTAATACACAAAAACACGCCAGCAAATGTGGGAAGCTAGCAGACTGGAAGGGCGAAAAACGACGCCCAACAGCAGAAAAACCCCTGAAGGGGCAAAACCGCCCCAGAACTGCTAGCAGGCAACCTCCACAGCCCCGGGAACCAACAACAGAGGCCCCGGGGCAGAGCCGTCCTCCAAGCCCTCCGCCCTTAAAGAAAAGCAAGAGCCCATGGGAAAGGCAACAAGAAAGGGCCGCTGGTAAGACCCAGAAGCCTTGGCAGGAGGCACAGGCTCAAACCTCCGTCCCCAACCCGAACGGGGCATCCCCCGAAAACCACCCGAGTCTCTGCCGCAACTGAACCCCGCCCCGACCCAGAAACACGCAGACGGTCCGGAGCCGGGAACATGGAGAGAAAGGGGCGAGCAGCACTGAACCAAACGGGGCGGCCACGGGGCATTCGAGTGGGAAACCAACCTAGCATGTTGCAGCAACCTAACCTAGCTTGCAACATGGATGCCGCCTGTACTCTGAACAGTAATAACATC